TTCTTTTATAATCCAATTCATCATTTTTCCATTCTTGATCATATCTTTCTGCTTGATCAAACATTTCTTGATTATAAAAACTATTTGCATGATCTTGTTCATTTTGTTTGATTATATCGATAAGCATCGAAATTTTTCGATCACGTTCTTTGAATGGAGCACGATTATTGATGAGAATAAAACGATTGTTACATTTTATCAAGAATTCTTGTAAATTTTTTGGTGCCTCTTGAAAATATTTGCGTATAACTTCATTATCAGATATGTATTTATCATCGTTTCGTACTTCATCTTCATGAGAAATAATAAGAATACAATAGTCCATCAAATACTGTCCAAATTTTTTCTGTAATATATCGAATACTAATTGATCTTCATTTGTGTAGCGACCGTAGAGAACAATAAGAAAAGCATGAGGACCCGGTGCAGCAAGTTGAAAACCAATGGTTAATTGTTCCATTGTTTCAGTGATTGATCTCTTCGTATCGAATAGGCCAGGCGTATCAACAACAACTAGTTTTCGATCAGCATATTTTCGATAAGCCATTTTTGCCTTTTGAGTTATAGAGGATGATGAGATTCCAGTTAGAAATGGAAAATTTCTTTCTTGACTTCCACAAATTGAATTACCGGCAGCACTCTTTCCTTAAAGAAAAATAAATATTATTATCATTTGAGAAAATAATGGAAAAAAATTTCAAATATACCTCGACCAGTTCTACCGAGGAGTATCATCCTCATGTCTTGCAAAGGTTGGGATTGATCATTGTCATAATCATTCATTTTATTCTTCTATTTTTTGAACTGCTCTCAAATGCAATACTGAAACAAGGTGAATTCCAACATATATACTTAGTCGTGTTCTTTTATATAGAAAAACAATATCAGATTTGTCACACTGTTTATTAGGCAAAAAAGACCCACACTGCGGCAGAATAATGACTCATGAAACACATAATCAATTAAAACTTATGTTCCACTTTTTCTTCTTCTTCCTAACTAACATTCTGCTTCCTGCATGCCATAGTGTTACTTTGGATTTTTCCTTTCTTCAACAGATGAGTAATAATGTTACTTGAATAAAATATATATTTTGGAGCCGTTTTTGCCATCAGAAACAGAAAATACCCATATTTGAAAGTACTGTCTTTTATACATGGTGAGTATTGAGATAACAGACACATAAGTCACAATGTAATTTCTATTATTATTTCAGGCAACCAGTGAAACTCTCAATGCAAGACAACAACAAGAACGACAGTCAGTGACAATTAAAGAATTAATCGATAAAAATCAAGAAAACGAGTTACGTCTAGTATTAATCGGCAAATCTGGTCACGGTAAGTCTTAAATGATCTTTAAAAAAACGTTCAAGATCTGTCTTCTCTTACGAATTTATGCGCCGAAAAATGCATTGCAACTGTAGAACAATCGGTCTATTTTGATTGTTCACAGAACAAATTCAAAAGAATTTTTGTTCTAGAATGATATTTTTTCATCAGGTTTGACACTATCTAAAAACGACTAATCACAGACAATGTGAACTTATAAAACAGATAAATCTTAATTAATTAACCAAAAGTAATTAGCATCAGTGTAAACTCTCGAATATTGTCTTCTATAATATAAAGACTTCACCAATATTGAAATAACTTTTAGTTTTGTACATCTGATTATGCGCTGTTAAATACAGTGATTTTTTTTTGTATTTATTCAAATGCCAAACACTTCCCACGGCGTCAATTACTGCGAAAAAAACGCGTTCTCAAAACGCATTTTTCCATAGTTGCGAAACGCGTTAATGCTGACCGGTTTAACGCATTTCACATCTGCTAATACGAACGCTGTGAAACGATCATTTTTCTAAAAACGTTTCGTAGCGTTTCTCTAACTGTGGTATCGTATATTGTAGATGGAAAAAAATGAAAACCGTCAAGTACTTCATGTACTTTGAGTTTCAGATACAATTAATTTACTCGCTTACATTTTTCATACATCTTTTGAGCTATAACTTAGATCAATTTTGATAAAGCCAACACATAGATTCGAACACGAGAACATAAGAGTAGAAGACATGTGTACAAACCGTTCACCTAAAATAATCTAATGATATAAGTGCTTATTCTATAGCAGGGGTGGCACTTTACATTTACTTGTAAATAGGTAAA